CACCACAGGGACACTCGCACATCCATGTCTATGGCTACTCTAGCTTAGATAAAAGAGCACACACGGCAAACTCTGGAGCAGGCTAGGTTGACACAGAAGACGAGGGTGCTACGCTGGTTAGAAGGCACACGTTTGCTACAATAAATCAAGATAGAAATAAGTGGGACGGGCACATTACTGGTAAAAGATCTTCTCAGCCAGTGGAGAAATTTAGTTCTCCAATTTCCAAAACCATAATAGAACATTTTTGACACAGAGAGTTATTTTATCAACACTGCATAAACTATACTTTTGTAGGAAACTTGGTCATTTGAAAACATTGATTTGTAAACATAATCTGGGCGTCTGTACATTGCTAACAAAAGATGATAACAAAAATATAACAGTGTAACTCTTTTAACTTGTTTACAGTCAGATTCACCTAAGCCTTTACATATGTGGACACATATGCACTTGCTGAAGCAGCCTGGTGCGTGTAGGGGGATAGGGGATGGCGCAACACAGGTCAGGATGCTGAAGCTGTCTTGTATACAAAAGCTCCTGTAGCTCTTGAGAGAGCTGGAAGAATGCATTCCCCCTCCCCCAACACCTAAATGGCTCTATGAATAAAGATAAAAGGGCTTGTTACAAATATCTGTGAGAAATCACAAAAGCACACAGATGCAATCATCAGTCACTTGTTGAAAACACCTTCTGCTCACCCTCCCTCTGGATCTCTCCCTACTTACCCATCCTCCCGTTTCCCCATCTCCTGCTGTGTCCCTTCAAGCTCTGCATAAAGCAGACCACCACTTGCCAGAGCTGAAGACAAACATCACCAGATTCCACCCACAAGGGGCTCTAAGGATGAATTCTAAAGGGTGCCGGTGGCTAATGTGTGATCCCGGAATGCTCAGAGTGTGGAAGCTATTTTGCTCCATTCCTTTCCCATTGGGATCAACATTACCTTTACCACAAGGAAGCTAAGGATTGCTAAAAAGGTCAGCCTTTGCATCAGACAGCCTTGCGAAAGGCACTGTCTAAGATAGTACCTTCCAAGAGACATAGCCACATGGGTCATTATGTGTTTTCTAGAAGAGATACCAAAGCAAGGGGAAAAATCAAGGTTAATCTTAATATATCTTCATTTATTGAGTATTATCGCTCAACACATATTAACTGTAAAATTATCCATGGGATAGTACATTTTTTTTACATGCCCTAAGTCTTCAAATTGTAGAGTATTAGATCTTTGCACTTATAATAAATACATTACAGTTGGGCAAGTCACATTTAAGGTATTTGGTAGCTACTTGTGGCCAGTTGGTTACCATGTTGAACAACAAACCTAAGAAAACATTAATCCCCTGTGTATAGTTTTATTTGAGATTATTTTTCAATTAAACATATTTCAAGTATATGCTGGGAAAGGTCTTTCCATTCCATTCTGAGGTCAGAAATCTTTCTGGACAGATCTCTTAAAGCACCTATCCTGTTTGGGATGTGATGCCACACACAGGCAGAGTCCTTTCGGGTTGAGTCTCAGACATAGCAAGCTTGGTTATGACCACCAGCTTTGAAGCTGGACACCTTGGGTTTGAAACCTGGCAAGATCAGTCACTGTGTGCCCTCAGGTAGTTACCACACTTTCATGTGCCTTACCCTCCTCATCTACAATATTTAAATAGTCACACATGCATGACAGTATTTTCTCATGGGGACCAGTGAGGTTTAGGTCAATCAATTTGCATAAAATGCTAAACCCATCACCTCTCACAAAGCAAGCACTTATTTTTAAAATAAGACATATTTTAAAAATCTTACAAATTTTAAAAATTAATTTTCATTTTCTCATGTGATCAGTAAATTATTTTTTAGGGGAAAACATTTTTGAATGAAAAACTGTATAGTTCTGAATCAGACTAAAAATCAGAAAATCCAGGAGCTGTGAACCAGTTGGAAATAACAGCTTGCCTGTGCTTTGAATTTCTAATTAAGGGAAAACATATTTGAATGTCTAGATTTTTTTTTGGAAGCAGTTGTAAAAATAAAGCTTCTGGGAGAATCCTGGTTAGTGGCAAGGAATTTCACACAGCCACAGTGATCTTACTGACACCCGATCAGGTGATGGACACCATGCACAGGTATGAAGCATGTGTGGCTCAGCTCCACTCACACTGGAAGACATGATGCTTCTTTCCTTTCCAGTGCACAGACACAAAGAACTTTTACTGTCATTACTGCTGCTCCTCCACGCTCCTCCTGACCAGCAGGCTCAAGAGTGCCAGACCCTCAGTGAGCAGCTCCCAGTTCTGACATTGCCTGGCATCCAACACATTATCATTCCCTTAATTAACAGTGACTGGAAACAAATAATTTAATTCTGGGGCAAATGAAAATGAATTAACGGTGCCAACTCCATTTCCCAGCTTTCTAATTGTCTGTAACAAAGGATAAAGAGGGACGTGTGCTGCCTTGGTGTGAGATTCATTTGAGAAAATAAAAGACAGATGGACAATTAGTGAGATCCTATTCCTCACCCCAACAAACACTGACGTACCCAGCAGGAAAATCTTTTTTTTTTTTTTTTTTTTTTTTTTTTTTTTTTAGCACAGCAACACACACCTGTAATGCTAGCACTTGAGATGCTGAGGCAGGATGATCATGTGCTGAGGCCATTCCTTGAGACTCAGAGTGTGATCCTACCCAGGGGGCGGGGCAGGGGGAGGAGAAGACACCGGGAGCACATTTGGCTATTTAGAGACAGTGAAACCACAAGCCCAGGCAGATCTCAGCCTAAAATCAAACCTCCCCCAGTCCCTGCTGCATTCACAGCAAAAACAACAGGAAGACATCTAACCCTTGGATTTGGAAGGTCCAGGTGACTTAATTGTGATGTTGCAAGTTAACAGGACTGGACTGATTATAGCTGATCTTAGTTATAAATCTGCAGTGTGCAGGGTGTGGGCTTGGTGACCCAGGACTTCTCTTCGTGTTCTAATGCTTGCCATGAATGGACCTGGTGGGCAGATGTTCTGTCAAATGAGACTCTGCCACTGCCAGACATATCTCTTCCAATGGAACATTCTGGAACCTTAGAATCAAGCAAGCACAAGACAGAGCTGATGACTTCCTGGCCCACTGTGAGCCAGACCTGAGCTAAAATGTCATGGATCCAAGCTCCTATGCTGACTGGTAGACTACAATGTTACTTTGGTTTACTGGAATCCAGTCAGGGTCCAGTAAATTCTGAGAAGCCTATCTTTTTCTATTTATTTATTTTGTTCTTGAAGCATAGCCATCCCCTTTGGAGGAAGATTGTGAGAGATATTCACGATTAATTTTTGCTGACATAGTGGTATCTTTCCTCACAGGGACTTGGCTTCTCCCTTATGCAAGTACTAGGTCTGTAAAGCGGTGCCTACTTGGAAGCTGACTGAGGAGCCATGGCTGTTTTCAGTGATTTGTGTTAGAGTTTTGCTCATTCCATATGAAACATCTCTGCTTATACAGATTAAATAAGAAGTTAACATTTCGCTATTTCACTTCTGGGAACCGTGTGACTCACAGACATCAGTCTACAGGGTCAGCCATTGTGGTCACACCTTGCTCTACTGCCCTTTAAAGCTTCTATGGGGGCTGGAAAGATGGCTCAGAGGTTAAGGGCATTGCCTGCTCTTCCAAAGGTCCTGAGTTCAATTCCCAGCAACCACATGGTGGCTCACAACCATCTGTGATGGGGTCTGGTGCCCCCTTCTGGCCTGCAGGCATACACACAGACAGAATATTGTATACATAATAAATAAACAAACAAATAAATAAATATTTTTTAAAAAAAGCTTCTATGGCTATCTTCCCTCAGGCAGCTAACATCTTGAGGAGTTGTTCTGTATCTGCAGGCTCCAGCCCTTTGGAGTGTGCCCAACACATACTGATAATATCCTGAAAACTATTTGTGTAGTTGAGCATATGTATGTAAGAGAAAGATGTGCTGGGGTCCTCTGATTTAATTGCACCCTGCTCTGTAGGTTGTGATCAACAGTTGCTGGTAACTTCCCAAATTCATAAACGATCTTGCCTCCCTTATTTCATTAAAAAAAAAAAGTAGCTATAGTTCTTAACAATATCTTGAAAAGATTATCTCAAAGTTATCTATTGGGAGGTAGAAATTTATATTTCTACCAATTCTTCCTTATTGAAGTGGAGTTTTCATACTCACATAAACAGGCCTTTGGGTTTTACGCTTATGGACCCTGAGTAAGTAAGTGCTTCTGTCTCCTTCAAGAAAATAGCTCTACCCTTGATGCTGCTGTACCCCTGCACATGGCTAGGAGTGGACTCTAGTTAACTCTACCCAAATCAGGAATTATAACCAGAACTTATTATGTTTCCTAAAGTAGGCTCCACCCCCTGCAATTAAATACACACAGGCCATCTAGACCAATAAAGCCACAATACTTTTTTTTTTTTTTTTAAAGACAGAGTTTCTCTCTGTAGCTTTGGAGCCTATCTTGGAACTAGCTCTTTTAGACCAGGCTGGCCTTTATCTCACAGAGATCCGCCTGTCTCTGCCTCCTGAGTGCTGGGATTAAAGGCATGTGCCACTACCACCTGGCAAAACCACAGTATTTGAGACAGCCTAATCCTGTATTTAAGAGCAGTCCCTAAATAATGTGAACTGTTGTTATAGGCACAGCTTTTTCTTACTTAAATCTTCAAAAGAAATGTGTGATTCTGAACATGTTTTGCTGTGCAAACAGAATTCCAACTTAAGCAAAGCCAGTCCCTTAGAGCTAAGTGACAACACCACCTGGCCCAGAAGCATGGGTGTCTCAGTACCTTCTCGGATTTAAATGTCTATAATTACATTTCCAAGAATCAACACTGTGGCTTCTTAGGCAGACACAAAAATAGCAGAAATGTGTTACAAGTTTCTTTCTTGGCGCTAAGATCTTACAGAGTGTTACTCTACAATTGGGAGCAAACACGTCACTATAAAATAGAAAGGAGAAAAACCTTACCCGAATCCAGAAAGCAAACGACAGAGGAGAAAGAAGCCATAGCCTTGGACAAATGAAGAAAGGAAGGCAAAGAATCCGTTGACAGACATGCAAATCAGGAGAGACTGCTTCCTGCCCACTTTGTCTGCCAGTCCTCCCCAGAAGAACGCCCCCACCATCATCCCGAGGTACACTATGCTGCCTGCAACACAGAAAACAAAAGAACAGGTCAGAGGTTGGGGACAAGGACAAGTTGCACGTGTAACATCAAACAGGGTACAAAACACACTCCAGCATTTTGTACAGGGAAAACACCTCTAAAAGTGCGTCGTTAGGGATACAGTGATTAGTGCATCGTTAGGGATACAGTGGTTGGTTGACAGTTTGGAAGTTATCTCTGCCAGATCTTTGACCACCCTGACCCCTCAGATGCACCGATGGGAAGTTATTTCCTTTGTCATCACATGTAGAAGATAAGCCGGTCACATTCCACCCTAGCCTTGTGAGGACGGCTATGCAGTGGGTGGGTATGAGAAATCTCACAGAACAATCTTGGAATCTGACTCCAGGTTTTCACTTCTGATCCAAAAGTCCTGTGTGTCATCATGACAAGGACAAGATGAGAAACCGAGTCAAGGGCCCTCCGAGGTCAAAGGGGACCTCCAAACCGTTTCAAAGTCCTGCTTACACCAATGGCCTGTGCTAAGGCCAGACCTTAACCCTTCTAGAAGATTCCATGTCTTCTTTTTAGTCTAGACTCTGGCGCTTTCTGAGGAGTTGAGGAGAGTGGACTTGGTGATTACAAGGATGAGACACAATGTATGCTAGCTCTCTCTCTCTTCTCATCAGAGGAGGCCTTTGGAGCCAAGAATTCACTGAGACAAGGAACAGTTTGAGTACTTCAAGAAATGTTAGTATTGGCTTCAACCCCTAAGGAAAACAAATGAAAACTAGGAGTTAGATGGTCCCCTTGCAGTCACTGTGAGTAGACACTTGATTTTTTTTTTCATGGTTTGGTTATTTTTATTTTTTCTGTGCGTTGATGTTTTGCCTGCATGTATATCTGTGTGAGCATGTTGGATCCCCTGGAAATGAAGTTACAGACAGTTGTGAGCTGTCATGTGGGTGCTGGACATTGAACCCGGGTCCTTTTAACTGTTGACCCATCCCTTCAATCTGTAGGACTCAGCCAACCATGATAAGATTAATAGCAGCAGACCACCCAAAGGAAGTTCTTAACTTCCAACCATTATCACCTGCCAGTGTGGGACCCAGCCAGGATAAGCTTAATCGAGGCCTGATTCTCAGTAGTTTACCTTGAAGCAGTACCTGGTTGTAGGAAGGACCACAAACTGAGATTACCCAAGCACCACCCAAGAATAGACCATCCAAAGGAAATTCCTAATGTTCCAGCCATTGTATATAGGATCACCTGCCAGCACACATTCACCAGGACACCCCTAGACAAATGTCAGCCAATCAGGGGTTCTGAACCTTAGAAATCTCTCACCCCCACCTTTACTACTATAGAAATCCAACTCTAACTGAGCTTGGGGCTCTCTGATTATTATAATACGTGGGACACACGGAGAGATGGAGTTTGCAAACACATGGAGAGACAGAATTTGCAAACTTGTATAAAATAAAGGCTCTTTGCTTATACGTATGGGACTGGGTATCGTTGTTGGTTTTTGGGGGACTTTGTGGATCTGGGCATAACACAGCCCTTTATAAAAAAATATTTATTTATTTTTATTTTAGGTACATTGGTGTTTTGTCTGCATGTATATCTGTATGAAGTGTTAGATGCCCTAAACAGGAGTGATAGATAGTTGTGAGCTGCCACGTGGGTGCTGGGAATTGAATCCAGGCCCTCTGGAAGCACATGTAGCCAGAGCTCTTAACCACTGAGCCATCTAATTTACTCCCCCCTAAGAAAAATAAACCTCCAGTAAACATTATGTAAACCTTAGTGAGGAACCTAGGTGTGGCAAATGATAGTTCAGAAGTCTCTCTCTCTCTTCTCTCTCTCTCTCTCTCTCTCTCTCTCTCTCTGTCTCTCTCTCCTCTCTCTCTCTCTCCCTCTTTCTCTCTCAAGATTGATTTAACACAGCTACGGTGTTATAGAATGCATGCCTGCCAGAAGAGGGCACCAGATCTCATTATAGATGGTTGTGAGCTACCATGTGTTGGCTGGGAATTGAACTCCAGTCCTCTGGAAGAGCAGACAGTGCTCTTAATCCCTGAGCCATCTCTCCAGCCCCGAGAAGCCTTTCTGAAATGGTGAAATGTCCAAGAGAAAAGTCACGAGTGAAGGTTTCTTATGCCTAGAAGGGGCACTAAAGAGACTGTTCCTTCAGCTTTTCATCCATCTTTTCCCTCTCCTTCCTCTCCCTCTTCCTCCCTCCCTCCATCTTTCTCCCCCCCTCTCTCCAAGACCCTAATGTACATTCATGGCTGGCCTAGAACTGACTATATAGTCCAGGTTTGCCTTGGTCTTAGCCCTTCTTTCTTAGCCTCCTTGGTGCTAGAATTCATAGGCATGAATCTCTTGGTCAAGTACTATTTTTAAATATACATTCCAGATAGTCTGACATTGATTTAAGAAAGCAAAAAAAAAAAAAAAGTGGAGCTAATAATTTATTGGTGGAGATTAGTTTCAGAAATAGCCTCTTTAAATAGTCACATCCCCTTAATTATTAGTGACCACATAATTAATGAGTCAGTATGAGGCTCAGGAGGAAAACAATTGACAAGACCTTCCAACCATCATACAGACTGTTCACGCAACCATGGTGAATGGAAAGGGTCAACTGTAAACTAGACTCTTTCCTTACCAAAATCAGCTTCCAATCAGACTGGGATACTGCAAAGAAGGGGACTGAGCCTTGTGTGTGTGGCAGACATCATTTCCTCTTTCCCACAGGACTGGCTACACGCCCCCTCCTTCTCAATAGAGATTACTCACATCATGAGATCCAAAGCATGCCCAAAAGGTGGTTTAAAGAACACATCCTCACAAAGTAGACAGACTCATCGAGGAAATGCGTAGGTGGCCTAGCCTGCATTGACAGCTTCAGCGGCACGTGCTTGCCAGTCACACCTCACAGGATAGGGAGGCTAAGCTGTTTAGTGATGGTGTCTGCATCTTTTAAAAAATCTACACATGAGAAAGTGAGTGTCTAATTATCAGGACCTGTAGCTTCTTGGATTTAAACACCTGAAAGTCTTGCTTAGAGTTAAGGGTCAAGAAATAAAGCCCCTCATCCACTTAAGTTCTTCAGTTTCCTTCTGCCCCAAGAGAAAGCTGCCATGACAGCCAAACTAATCCCATCTCTCTGTGGCTCTCTCCTTTGCTCTGCTGCAGGAAGGGAGGGCACAGCAAAGTATGCTATCTGCATCCAATCCATAATCACTTACAAACATTTTCCTTCGTTCCCTTCTACCTTCCTTCTCTTCCTTCATTTCTCTTACTTTTAAAAAGGTCTCACTATGTTGTCCAGGCAGGTCTCGAACTCATGATCCTCTTGCCTTATCCTCCCTAGTATTAGGGTTGTAAGCAGGTGCCACTGCACCTAGACTCCATTTACTTTTTTCAGTGAGAGTAATAACCCCTGCTGTTACTCATGCTGACTCTACATCTTTTGGGTTTTTGAAGAACATGCCACACTTTGGCTCATTTAAACTTCACTACAATCTTGAAGAGTGAAGGGTATTATTAACCTGTGTCATAGATGAGGGGACCGAGAGATTTTGTAGTATGATCCAACAGACAGAAAAAATGGCACATTAGGATAGTAAACCCATTTTTTGTCAGGCTAACACCTGCAGGATTTTCAGGATTCGTGGTGTGTTGAAAACACCAGGTCTTGTGGCTTTGGATCCTCCATTGGGACTCTTTGGACTTCTTGATCTGGGACCTTAAGGGTTAAAACCTGGTGTTATATACAGGGCAATGCCCAGTACTGTGAAAACTACTCTGACTCCCAGGATACCTGTTACCAGTTCGAATACCGCCACTGTTATTTCTGCCAAGCTCACCTTGGAATTACTTATTACACTCAAATCAAGAACCAGACAGTATAAAGTAGACGACCTAGCTCTTGAGCTTCTGGTTGATCTCAATTTGTTCCATTTAAGAAAAGTGAATCTGAGTGCCGGAGGCAGGTGTAGTTAATCTGGGTTCTCCTATCCCCTAGACTCTAACTACCCATGACTCCCCACTTCCTCCGACCGCCTGGTCATGAAGTTATTTGGATATTCAGCTTCTTGAGAGAGAATAACTTGTAATCTAGACAGAGTGGCTTATCAAAAAGTAAGTCAGAAGGCAACATCCAGGCTAGATTTTCCGTGGCCTCCTGGGGACAAATGGCCAGACCAGAACAATGCTGAAGCAGGTAGCCATCTTGTGGGGGCACTAGGGTCCCCTATGTGCTCATCAGGATACTCGAATAGGATATTTTAAGAAGGATGTTTAAGGAGTCATTTGGCATGAGTCCAAAGGAGGAGGTGTATCCTCCAATAGAAGAGTCAGTGGGGGAGAGGCTACTAATTCTCACGCAAACCCTGGGCGGGGGGGGGGGGTCCCCCTATAAGAATGGAACGTGTGAGAGGGAAAACTTGAGATGGCATTAAAGTCCTCCACAAGTGGCAGGTTTGTCACAAAGATGTGCAAGGTCAAGCTGTACATTCCTTCCTCTTTCACTCTGGTTAAAAATGCTTACCCTTTGAAGGTAGTATTGTTCGTGGTTTATATTTGCTTAATATTGACATTGGTAGCTAGACTATTTCACTGGGCAAGCTATGGAAAGGATTCAATCTACCAAACAGCTTATTTGAGAGAAGACCATGGAGATTAGAATGCTCACTTGTTGACCATGAGGTCTAGTTAAAGCCAAACATTTGAATGTTTACAAAGGCTTGGTGTGAGTGAAATTGTAACCACTCAGAGTGGAAGGAGACATACTGTACTTTCTACTTGTGTCCAAGTTGCTATTTTGTTTTCAGGGTATTGTTCAGGGAGTCCTTGAGAACCTGCAGTAGCTGTACATTGTGGATGTGCCCCCTGCCTCCTCTGCTCTTCTTTTTCCATGATGCTCTGCTGGCCAGGGTTAGGCAGAGCCTTCGGCCAAAGGCCCCCTTTTTAGGAGAAGGGAGAAGACCAGAAGTTGTGAGAAGGCATTTTTGAAGTCGCTCCTTTTT